AAAAAAAAAAAAAAAAAACGGCAGCAAATGTGAACCCCCCTCAACAGTAAGTACGTACTCCATAGTCGGTGCACCAGCTACTGTGCTATAGACGTTACTGGTACTCCTCATACAGTGAAGACTTCTCCCCCGCAACACTATAGACGTCGATTTCATTGTATCTACAGCGCTTCGCCTCCAATATTTTTGGAGCCCGCCCGCCGCCGATTCATTGTATCTCCGGCGCTTCGCCTCCAAAATTTTTGGAGAGGCTCAAAACAGGTTCTCCAGTTGCCAGTTGCCTCCGCCAGTGTTGGGAAATTAGGCAAAACGCCTGTTCCCAAAGAGTTTGGCGGCCGGCCACATCGATGGCTGCCATTCATAAATCTCATTGGCAGCCGTTGTTTCATTTTGGCTTCCTCCTACAAGGTCGGAGGCCCACCCGAGGCCCGCTATTTTCCCACTCGGCAAAGCGGTTTAAGCCACCAGTTCGCACAAGCCTACGTTGACAATACTATCTTCCAAGGCTCACAAAGCCTGCAATTTCGCCTTTTGAAAAGTAACCTGCCACTTTCACAACCGGCCCAGGCCCGAATCGTGATGATATAATAAATCCCTTTTTCTCTGAGTGGGGATCTGGGCCGCCCGGGTGACCGGCAGGGGCCCGGGGGAGGTCCCAGGCGGCCTAGCCGGGCCAGGCACCCGGTTGGGGGCCATGTCTCCCCAGCGCACTTACCTGTCTGTGTGTGTGTATATGTGTGTGTGTGTGTGTGTGTGTGTGTGTGTGTGTGTGTGTGTGTGTGTGTGTGTGTGAGAGAGCGAGAAGAACTCAAAGATTTCCTGCAAGTTGTCAGTCTGTAAGTCTTCTTCTTCTTCTTCTTCTTCTTCTTCTCGCCAGTCTTCTTCATGTTTTGTCAGTCTTGTTCTTCTTCAGAATGAAAGAGTCGATAACATGCATGCAGCAGACATCAGAGCAAAAGGCAACAAACATGCAGAGCCACCAACCCAGTACAGATCAGATGACATACATCCCGCACACAGCAGGCAACATAAATGCAGACACCCCCCCAACCCCAGCACCCCCCACCCAGACCAACCCCCCCCCCCCACCCCCCCAAAACCAAAATTTTATTGCAGATTCGGGGTCCTCTCGCCGAGCGCAGAATGAACCCGGTTTCAGAAAAAAAAAGAAAAAAAAAAAATCTGGGCGTTTTTTTGGCCCAACCAGTTTACCTGGGCGCCCCCCCCGGGCCCAACCTGCCAGGCAGGCCCGGCCGGGTCAGCATCCTCACTCAGCTTTTTCTTGTGAAAAAAAAAAAAAAAAAGATCTTACCACATAACAGGTACGAGCCATACTCTGCTTCGGGTGAACTGGGGGTTAGACAAATGCATCCACTAAAAGATCTCCGCTGAGGAGAACTGTAACAAAACCCGGCGGACTCCAACCCACATCAGAAGCCATGAAAATGCTCCTGAGACAAAAAACAATCTTTCTTTTTTTTGCCCCCTTTTTTCCTAGGCTACCAGAGTGGCCGGGGGCAACCTGCCTGGCCGAGCAAAAAAAAAAAAAAAAATCAAAACATATATTTTAAAAATAATAAAATATATATTTTCTATTTTATATTTGGTAAGTAATTTCGATGTGACCCTAGGGCAAAAGTTGTTCAATTTATTTGTGTGCATCACAGAGAGTTTTTTTTTAATAGATTTTTTGGATTGCTTTTTTTGTTTTTCGCACTGGGCCCTTCCCTGGTTCGTGCACGGCTGGGCCGCCCAGTCAACAAAAAGGTGACCCCAGCGGCATGTCTGGTAACCCAGCTTTTTTCTTTTTTCCTTTTTTTAATTTGGACTTTGGATTGCTTTTTTTTTGGCTGGGCCCTTCCCTGGCTCTTGCACGTCTGGGCCGCCCAGTCAACTAAAAGCTACCCCGGGCAGCATGGCTGATAGCCCAGCTTTTTTCCTTTTTTTTTTTTTTGAAATTTGGACCATATCCTGATTTATGTGTGTCATCCTTGTGAAGGGGCCCTGGTAATGTTCTCTGTAATGTCAGTCCGATTCCAATGGATGACAAAGGAGGGTCAGCTTCTCTCTTTTTTTTTTTTTTTTTTTGAACCATATCCTGATTTATGTGTGCCATCCTTGTGCAGGGGCCCCTGGTAATCTCCTTTGTATCGTTCCAATTCCAATGGATGTCCAAAAAGGACAAAGGAGGGTCTTTCTGACTCTTCCAGTAGCAGTAAACCCCTACGCAAAATACCTGTGGACTGTATGATTCAACCTGCCTGCCCGAGGAGTCGTCCGAACAGAAAAGTGAGCAGAACAGAAAAGCGAATGTCGCAGATGTGAGCTAGTGTACACAACCAAACACCCGAAGTTAGTGAACGAACAAACACCTACCATTTCCTCACCCAGCTTCTGCCATCCGTCAAATGCTTCCGGTGTTACGAAATGCGACACTGGCATATGACCCTTGGTAGGGCGCATGTACTGTCCAAACGTCATGACATCAACGCCTGCCTCTCGCACCTTCTCCATTGACCTGACAATCTGGTCTGGAGTTTCACCACAGCCAAGCATGATTGACGTCTTTGTGAGCGTGCCAGGGGGCGCCATCTCTTTTGCCATTGTCAGCACTTTAAGGGACTGCGCAAAGTTGGCCCGCCGGTCTCTGACGACTCCCTGGAGCTCTTCGACAGTCTCGATGTTGTGCGCAAACACATCCGGCGCCGACTTCGCCACTTCTTCTACAAACTCCGGCCGTCCCTGAAAATCAGGAACTGCGAGGAACAATACTCACACGCACCGAAACGAAAACAAAGCAGGCAAATGAACGAAGATATTCTGTCAATCACTCCACACGACAAATACATACATTCGTTACGAACTACAAAGGTTATCAGCAGAGAAAGGACAAAAGCATCACAACCTTAACCTAACCAAGCAAGTAGAAGCAACTGAACTGCCTCCCTGATTCAGTTCACACAAGCACAGATAGATCAAAGGAGTGCGAACAGCAGACATCGAAAAGGTCCCAGAGTGCGAATTCCTCATCAGGAAAGAGCAGCCACACACTTCACCAGCGATGAGATATTCCCGATCCAGATTGTGAACATTCTTTAAACATAAGCATCCCAACGGTGGGAACACACACACACACACACACACACACACACACACACACACACACACTCTTCCAGATGGTTCTGTGGTATGAGCTGCACATGTGTGCAGTCTGCCATGCTCTTTGAGGTCTGGTAAACTCGCCCCCACCCTGGGGGGACAAAAATAGAACTGCTCCACATGGCCACATGGCTCTGTCGTATTAGCTGCGCACTCGTGCAGTCCGCTATCTATTATGTGGTGTGGTAGTAAAAAGCCTAAAAGGAGGAGAGGGTAGAGGTGAGAGCGAAGGTGCCGCTGAATAAGGCTCTGTGGAGGGTAAAACCACCCCTACAGCCAGCCCTAACCTGCTGAATCGTGCAGCATTTAGCCTGCTGAGGTATCTGTCAGGTCTCAGGCAGTTGACAAGTCAATTTTGAAGAAGGTGCAGGCCCCAAAGAGTCACAATGGTTACTATTTCATTTGAGGGGCCTTTGTTCTCATTTGTCCTCCCATCTGAGCTTCTTCATCACCATGCCTCTCCGAAACCCTTTTTTTTTCCACGCTCCCTTACCGTCTTCACCCAAATACATTGTACGCAATGTACGGTCATTATAACTGTATTTGGAGCAACTTCTAGATGCAGCAATAATGACCGTATATGTTGTATTGGGTGAAGACACGGTAGTCACTCCACTAGAAAATAGGAGAGGCCCCAAGATGAAGTTGTGATCTAAATTAACAGTGCCGTGCGAAAACTGGCATGTTATGAAGTACCCGCTTTTTCCACCGAATACAACGCCCCCTCATAATGACTGCATGGGACCCCCCAAAAAATGGCTTGTGTACATTAAGAATCAGGGTGCGTTATGTTCCCGGGGAAGATGGTAGCAAGGGCGAAAATTTGTCGAGAAAAACCTTTTAAAAAGGCTTGTGTACATTAAGAATCAGGGTGCATTATGTTCCGAGGGAAGAAGGTACCTCTGTTTTTTTTTTGTTTTTTTTTTATCCAAACGTTTCACCATTCCTGCAGAGCCTTCACAACATGTACATGCAGGAGGGTGATAGATGTCCTGCTCGGCCGGAGTGGGCTTCTCTAAACCAACCACCGCTTAACGGGTAGTTTAAGGATACCACAACAAATACATATCTGTATCTGTAGATGCAGCTCAGGAGAGCAGAGTATGTTATCTGCACATATTTATCGGACGGACGACAATGCTGATGCCAACTCACCTAGAGCTTCCACAAGCAAATCAGGACACCTCTTCTTCAAATTGCTAACGGTCTCCGCAATGTGTCTACTCCCCTGATCGGGCAGATCATCCCGATCTACACTTGTCAAGACGATATAGTGAAGGCCCCATGCTGCCACTGCTTCTGCCACATTCCGAGGCTCTTCGGGGTCTGGCGGAGGTGGCGATCGCGATGTCTTTACAGCACAGAACCTGCAAGGTATTCACCACAGGGTTGGGCAAGATCAAGAAGAAAACATCACCTTCATTATCATCCACAACACCAACAGGAAAAATACAAAAACACCACCACCACCAACAACAACAACAACAAAAACAGCAGCAGCAGCCGAAGCAAAGCAAACAACAACAACAACAACAACAACAACAACAACAACAACAAGGACGGCGACGACGACGACTATATCAACAACAGCAGCAAAAGCAGCAAAAGAAAAAGCAAAGCAAACAACAACCAGCAGCAGAAGCAGAAGCAGCAGCAAAAGCAAAGTGAAAAATGACAAGCAAAATGACAGAAGGGTAATTAAGTCTTCTGTGAAGTTCTGATCTTTTTGTTTTTTGATACTGGAGGAGGAGGAGCGTACTGACTCTATTGAATTATTTTGAATATCCATTCAGATGTCAACACATCACAGAAACAGCAAGAGAATGGCAACAGAGAAAAAGGTATAGATGTCTGTGTTCACCCATATGGGACACACTCAGATCATACAAACGGGATAAAACTGTCATGCACCTAGTCATGCAAGAAACAGACTCGGAAATGACTTGAATGACAACTACTGTAGGAACCAGAAACCCTCTGCATCACGATGGACTGTAGGATACAAAAATCATACAAAACTCACAACTGAAGCGAAACGAGAAGCGGAAAATAAATTCCTTTCTAGCCGCCAAAAAAGCAACAGTTCTCGGTCGTGCCCCCCCCYCCCCCCCCCCAAGAAACAAACAACAGGACCACCACACCACCCAAAAACTAGAACAAAAAAGAAAAGAAATAAAGCGTCAAAAAGGGATCAACGGAAGCGCACAGAGGGAGGTTGCCTGCGTTTAGGACACACGGACGTTTACAAGGTTTAAACTTTGGACCAAGCACGCGACCGCCGATGTCCCCAGATATGACAGCATGATGAGCACATGATTTACCATATGATGTACGGCAGACAAACACAATGATGACCACTTGATTGATCGATTGATTGATTTATTGATTGGTGATTGGTTGCATGCTTGCTTGTTTGCATGCTTGCTTGTTTGCTTGCTTGCTTGATGGATGGATGGATGGATCCATTGATTGATTGATTGATTGATTGATTGATTGATTGACTGATTTGATTGATTCATTGATTCATTGATTGGTTGATTGGTTGGTTGGTTGGTTGGTTGATTGATTGGTTGATTGGCCGATTCAGTTCCAAGCGATTGTGTAAATAATATCGACTGAAGTGAAAAAAGGCTAAAGGTAATAGCCCCCGTAAGGCTAAATGATACACATGTAACTGTGAGTAAACAGGAAATCATGAGTTCGAGTCCTGACGGATACAATAATGTTAGCGTAAATGTAGACGACAATCACATTCCTAAAAATATATTAAAAACAGAGATCGACTAACCCGAAGTTTCCTTCGTCTTTCCCGGGGGGAGGGGGGAGAGAGGGAAGAGAGATCACTCAACCATTAATTACACCACATACTGAAATTGTAGTACTATGGTCTCTCTCTCTCTCTCTCTCTCTCTCTCTCTCTCTCTCTCTCTCTCTCTCTCTCTCTCTCTCACACTTACACACACACACACACACCCCACGAGGCGCAGACGTTCATCTTCCACCAATCATCACACGGACAGTCTGTCTTTTTTTATTTTCCCTTGCCAGCTATCACTGACTCTTTTATACAACTAAAAAAAAAAAAATCTATATTTTTACATTGATGCTCGCGTGCTTGGATCCTTTTTTGATTGATTAATCCATCATTTTTTTTTTTCAATTACTAAATTCATTGAGAAGCCGAGTACGGCTATTTCTTATTTGCGTACAGTTAGATAAGAGAAAATCGTGCGCGGTCGAGGTTAAAATAAAAAAATAAAAATAAAAACAACCGGGAAGCAAAGGGAAAAAAGAAAAAAAAAGAAAGACTACTCGAAGTACATATTCGACCAAAAAAAAAAAATGACGGATGGAATCGTCACACCAAGAGGCCTGCAATTACGGACCAAGCACTGGGAGAGGGAGGGAGCTGGGCGCGAGGGAGCGGACAAAAGGCAGGCAGGAAACTAACAGACAATGAGAGACAGACAGACAGACAGACAGGCAGGCAGGCAGGCAGGCAGGCAGGCAGGCAGATAGACAAAAAAGACGGACGGTTTCGCTCCGCTACGCAACATTCTGCTTGTATAGGGACTGTAGTGTGGACCAGCTTCATTCGAACTGATCAAACGTTTTGAACGTATCGGGACCACTATTAGCTCCAGATCCATTTCGAAATTTATACAGTGGAGCGAGGCCCATACAACAGACAGAAAGACAGACAGAGACAGAAGCGTAGCGTCAAGGGCGTTAGAGAGAGAATACAATTGCACGGGGCGAAGAGGGGAGAGAGAGAGAGAGAGAGAGAGAGAGAGAGAGAGAGAGAGAGAGAGAGAGAGAGAGAGAGAGANGAGAGAGGCGAGAGAGAGAGGTTTAGTAGCAGGCGTGTTTGGTCGAGAGAGAGAGAGAGAGAGAGAGAGAGAGAGAGAGAGAGAGAGAGAGAGGCGGCAAAGAGGATGGGGAAAGAGGTACCAACGGGCCTAGCTCAGTTGGTACACCCATGAATTGTTTAAAATACAGACCCGAGTTCGAGTCCAGATGCAACCAGATGAACAGAGTCATATAATTCGGGATTACCTGGGGCCGGTCTGTCAAGACATGACATCACTTTTTTTCATCTTCTCCAAAAATTCGGACCATTTCTCGATTTATGCGTGCCATCCTTGAAAGCGCAGGGGCCATGCTAATCTTCTCTCTCTGTATCGTTCCAATTTTAACAGATGTCTCGAAAGACACAATGATGATATCTCAATCAAGGTCGTCGCCTTTTTTTCTAAATCTAAAAAACAATAAAATAAACGTCCATGAAAGATGGGAAAAGAGGAGAGAGAGAGAGAGAGAGAGAGAGAGAAAGATGTACCAACTGCCTAACTGTGCCTATAGCACAGTTGGTACACCTGTGAACTGCTGAAATCCAGACGTTTTCTTTTTTTTTTTTTGAAATCCAGACGTGAGGTCGAAGTTGAGTGAATTTCTGAATTACCTGGGGGCGGTCAGTTCTATGATTGAATTGAAAACTTACTCCAGACAACAATCTGTCCGTCCGCACCGATCCAAGGATCGAACACGTGACCTCCACGTCAAGAGGCAAACAGTCAACCAAACGGCTAAGTGTTATCTAAAGGGCCGTCGCCCTTTTTTCTTCTCTTTTTCTTTTAAACAAAAATCAGGAGAGAGAGAGAGAGAGAGAGAGGACGAGGGGCGAAAGAGCGCGACGGACCTACAGGCTCTCGTGCACGTATCTCCCAAGATCATGATGGTTGCTGTGGCTGTCCCTGTCTCCCCTCCACCCCAACATTCTCCGATATTCGGGCACTTGGCCTCTTCGCAGACAGTATGCAGTTTCAATCCGCGCAACTTCGCCTTGATCCTAGTGTAATTTTCCCCTCCTGGAATTTCCATTTTCATCCAATCAGGTTTCCTCTTTCTCATTTTGTGCGAAAATGCTTCGACGGAATACCCGAGAGGACTCGTGGTCGAGCCGGACACGAAATCGCCAAGGCTGGGCACCTCCCCCCCCGCCAATCGCGCTCGAAGAGCTGCCAATCCGCCACCCCCGCGCACGTGCTCCGCCGTCGCCGCGGCGGACATCGCGGACATGGCGGACCCCTCAGATACGCTCCTCTCTGCCCCGTCTGCTAACTTCCCGCCATGGTCACCTGCTTGCGCCGAGTAACCCAGCGCCAGCGCTGCTCCGCTCCGCGAGCAGATAGATATTCGCAGCATTCCCGCGAGCAGATTGCTTGCGCCGTCCTGCGATGCTCGCGCGGGGAGGCGCGCCGCTCTCCCGCACGCTCCCAAACGTGCCACACCATGACGAAGCATTTCCCCTCGCGCGCGCGCGCGCGCGCTCGGTACACTCCCCGCACCTACCTCGCCCGCAATCCACCCGCCCGCCCTCCTCCCGTCCGCTCCGCAGCTCTGATTTTCGCAATCACAACACAGCTTAATCGACCTCCAACCGATCGACAACCGTTACACGTGTTTCCCACAACTTCGTTCCGTTCGCTCTCATGTCGTGTGCTATATGCGTCCGCCTGTCTTCCCGCCGTTCCTTCTCCCCGTAAGCGGCTGCCTCCTCCGACTGGCTTGGTCATTCCCCTTGGATTTAGTGTGTGTACTCCTGCTCTGGGCTTCCTGTGATCTGTGTGTATGTGTCTGTTGCCATGTTCGCTATACACAACTCGACATAAAACGCATGACTGTGCGCTTTCACCGCCTCTTCAGGAGTGTGTGTGTGTGTGCGCGGGCGGGGAGGAGGGGGGGGTGATTTGTGTGTGTGTGTGTGTGTGTGTGTGTGTGTGTATGTGTTTATTGAAAAAAAAACGAATTCTCTCTCCCATTCCATCCACAAATCATGTGAATTGGCGCCAGAACTAATCGCCTCATGCGTTTGTGTGTGTGTGTGTGGTGTGGGGGGGGGAGGGAGGGGGTACGCGGGCAACAGCGGGAAGTCAAAAAATTGGAAGCACCGGACAAGTGAATGCGTCGTGTGAATTGGCGCCAAAACTAATCGCCTCCTAACCATGTGGGCGTGACCGTAAATAAACCGCCCAACACGAATTGACGACGATGCTCGCTGTGCGTAGGGGATGCAAGGAGTACCGCGCCCAGCTAAGGACTACTAGATAGTGAATGGGCAAAAGAATAGCAAGTGGATGAATGCCTATTGTGTGAACATATCGCCCTCCTTATTATATCGCCCTCCTTTCCGATCCACTATTGCGGCAATCACGAGCACGTCGAAGTAGAGGCTCTCGGCTGTCGGTCGGTCGGTCAGTTCGTTGGCCTTTCCCGCCTTTCGCGTCTCTCTCCTTGATCGATTGGCGCCATTAACATTGCCATTGCCGTCGACGGCACGAATTGATCGACTGGCGCCATTAACATTGCCTGGCCTCGCTTTTGTGTGTTACGCCCCCGGAAATGAGAGAATTCGCCGTGCGCGTGCATTCACAGTCCTGAGCCGCCGTGTTCAAAAAAGGAGCGCGCCGTAAATGAGATGAGAATCACGGTCGAAATGGCGGGAGAAATGATATTATAAGCTGCGACATGCCCAAACAAAGCGCGCACAAAAAAAAAACAAAAAAAGCGCGCGCGCCGTAAATGAGAATCACGGTCGAAATGGCGGGAGAAATGATATTATAAGCTGCGACATGCACAAAAAAAGCGCGCACAAAAAAAAAAAAAAAAAGTGCGCACGGCCAAAGGGCCTCGTTGCACTACTCGCCATCCGCCAACATTTTGATTGCATGTGGACAACGATTTTGTCCAGATGCATTCGAAATCTTGGCCGATGGCGAGTAGTGCAACCAGGGCCAAAATCCGACCACTGGCTGTCGAGTTGCGGAGGGATGATCAATAGCTCCTCGACGGACTCGTCGGACTCCAAAAAAAAAATCGAAACCGAGATCCACAAGACACTGGTATGACGACTTGTGAGTGGAGCAGAACGAAGCAAAGAAAGCTAAAAATAGATTGCCTATTAGATAAATGGGGAGATGACCCCGCTTTGATTAGGAGCCGAACACGTCGCTCGGAGACCTGAAACTGAAACAAGCCGACGGGAACACCCCGGTGAAAACTGTAGAATAGCCCCATCCGATGTCCCATGGCACCCCGCTTACTTGCCCCCCAACTACCAGTAGGGCAGCAGGTTTGGGGTGCATTGCCTGAAGGAATCATAGACGAGAGAACTACCTACTCGATCTTAGGGGGGCAGGAGCAGATAAGGGTCTGGGAGGCGACACTGCTCTTGGGCACCCCCATGGAGGGATTATTCGGGGAGTTGCCCATCTCGATTTCGATGTCCAACTGCACCTGCCTCTACATTGCTCTCTCTCTCTCTCACATGCATACATTAAACATCAAATCGGTGCCAAGTTGATATTAATTGTGGGTGTATGTGTATCTGGGCGGGAGAGAGACAGAAAGAATCGCGTGCATCTCTGAACAACAAGGTGCACCCTGGGTGCGCTGTGTGTGTTTCCATGCACATGCTGAAAAGTGCACTGAAAAAGGGAGGTCTTCGCAGCCTAAGTTTCGAAAGCGCAGGGAAAATCTCAGCCGCCTGACCTCAAAGATCAAGCAGGCAACAAACCCCCCTCACAGTTCACAGCCTGCAGGGGATGCAATCATACACCAAGCCTTTTTCAATGTTACTTATACCCACACTTATGTTGTGGTTATGGCTTTGAACTTTCCGCAGGACTTTCCAGGGGGGGCGGGCTTCGATGTCGAGGAGAGGACAGGTAGTTGGCGCCAGTCCTCCAGAAAGGCGAAACAGCCCGTGGGGTCCTCCAAAAAGCCACAGCGACCCAGGACTACAATCGTTGCCCAACCCGCCCACTTAGGCCCAGTCGGCCTTCTCATTGCGTCGGATCGTTGCATCTGAATCTGGACGCACTTCTATGCCAGAAACATAGGCAGAGAT